TTAGGTGCAACTCGCCCCAGGCTAGCTCAGTTGTGCAACAGCGGGGCTGAGGTAAAAGAGACTATCTGCGACAGGAAAGGAAGGGAATTTAACCTGTTGAGGTGCACCCTGGCTGTTATGTAAAGGTGACATGGAGAAACATGCGGTCAGCAGTAACGACAGCACTTGCCATTTTCAATCAAGCCAAGTTGTCGGCTATTTGAGAGCCGTGACTTCACACCTCCGCCTCTCGACCGTCTCCACCCCAAAAACACATCAGAATTCTTCTTGTTTGAAAAACAAAGCCTGTGAGTACAATGTAGACTTTATTGTGAGAAGGAGTCATGACGATGTTAGGTGTATAAATTGTTGTTTTTTTCCCCTCATTTGTTCTGCGAATATATCTAGTTTTCTTTTGTTTTCTGTTACCTAGCTACTGTGTGTGTGAGATAAATTATATTTTCGTCCAGCTTCTTCAATAGATGTTGTCATCTGCCTTGTTGAGAACGAAAAACAAGAACAAGCTGTTCTCTTCTCCTCTCTCTCACCTGTTGTCCTACAGCTCTCACTCACTGCAAATACAGTAGTAGCAGGTGCTGGATCAAGCTGTGTGTGTGTGTGTGTGTGTGTGTGTGTGTGTTTTGTGCGGTTAAAACCAGCTAACAGTTGTCCTTCAGTTGTGCTTAGATTCTAATGGTGTTACCTGTCACATTATTTTACCTTGCAGATATGTCCTCTGTGTGTGTGTGTGCACAGTATGTGTGTGAATACCTTACAGAAGATAAAAGTACCGGCTAACACATTGTGCACATCACACACATGCTTACTCACTTGCTAAGTCTCTCTCTCTCTCTCACACACACACACACACTCATGCACAAAGAGAACAAAGGGAGTGGGTCACCTCAGGGAACATTGCGATGGCAGATGAGCAGGCCACTTTTTAGCCCTGTGTAACTCAACACCCCTCTCCTCTTCCTCGTTTCCCCTCCTCTTCCTCCTCTCATTCCCTCAGGATGTCCGCTCATAGAGACCACATAAATTAATGATCAAGCACGCTCACTTGTTACACACCAATCAGCCGTGGGTGTATCAGCGTCGGCGTGTGGGGTTAAAAACAAACAGTAGATGCTATTATGGAACATGATCTTGGAGCTTTCCCACATCTCTCCTCATGCCAAAACATCAATTTAGGCTAGGGAAGTACCCACCGTGTGTGTGTGTGTGTTTATGTGTGTGTGTGCATGAGAAAGACTACCTTATCGGTTATCACACATGGAGTTTGATGACATGTGAGTCATAGTAGCTGGCTAAGGCTCATGGAAAATTCACAGTTTGAATAAGGGCTTAAGTGGGCTCTGCAGATCGGCCAAACAAGTGCTTTGTTGTCATTTTTAGGCTAATTACGATTAATCAGAAGAGTTTGCAAACAAGCAATAGCAGGTTATTGTGAAATTTAAGTAGGAGTGTGGTTGTAAGGCTGTTATGAGCTTTTGACTTATTAAACACGCAGATTTAGGACATTTTCATGCTCCCATAACCCCCATCCATCCCAGACTTTTTTCTAAAAATGTACTGATTATTTATCTAAACTCCTTCAAGCTGTACTAATTAATATTTCTATAATAACAGTGGGAAAAACAATACTCGTTTTATAATTTGTTTTAGCCAGACTGAATTACTTTGGTTTTACAGGCTACAACTTTACTGTTTTAGTTTACTTTCATTGTTCTCATTACCGTCCTTTCCAGATGTAAAAGGCAGCTGTTTTCAGTGAAAAAGCTCTGATAAATCGGCTACAAAAAAGAGCAAAAGAGGTAGATATTTTTGTCAGGACTTGGTAGAGACCAAAACAGAGCTAATATTGTTGCAACTGTCCATTTTAGAGAATATGAAAATGAAAACAATGTCTTATTGAGGCAATTTGCTGATTTGAAACAGTTTTGGTTCAGGGTGTCCTGGTTTCTCTGGCCTTGAAAGGGGCACAAAACACCAGGAAACCTGATAAAAAGAGACACATAAGAAAAACAGTCATTAAAGGGGCCGTGCAGTGTATTTCAGTTCCATAATGGTAGCTCACAAGAGACTGATTAAAATACAAATCTGGTTTGCAGAGGGTGACCCTTTAATGTTGTTAATAATTTTGTAATAATAATTTAAAAATAATTGTAAAATAAATTTTGACATGCTGCTTCTTCTGCTGTTTATACACAATCAAAGGAAAGAAAGCTATTTGGTTAACTACTGTTTTGCAGTTGACTTTGTTGTCCGTGGGGGTGAGAGAATCAATTTTAAATGAGCACACTTAACACTTGGCTGTCCCTGTATCGCGGTGAATCACGCTCTTCCCCTTCCTCTGGCTTTTTGGCATTGTAGCGTTTTTAATTGCTAAAGTTAGTCGGTAATTCTACTCAAAAATGCATAAAAGGCGGAAAGATATTCAAACATTCCTGACATGACCTCTTTTTCCCTGCTTCTTTAGAGTGCACCTTGTATGGTGAACTAGAAACCTGACTAAAAATGGTATCACGGAGCCTGGAGGTGAAGTCAGGTCTGAAGTTTAGCCAGCTACCGCGAGGCGTTTAGCAAAGGAAGACCAGATGCACTTACACGGGGAGAAGAACTGGAAATAAAACAAGACGGGAGTTAGGGAGGATTATGAGTAAAAGTGTTAATCTGCTTATTCTTTAAATGCAAATTGTTTTACCACAGTGTACACCACACTGCAGCATAACTGTGGTTCACAGCTTGCTCAATCATTAACAACTCTGCATGTGTCAGACAGGGGGAAGATGTGATATCTCTGCAGAGATTCAGAGTACACCCTGTATTTTACAGCATTTTCTCATACTAAGATGGCTAAAAGTTCTTCGCTGTGGTAAAATAGACATTCACGAAGGACTGCAAAACAGTAATTAATCATTGTAAAATGATTTACAGATAATTCTATAGGCTTTAAGAATATATTTAACTGTTTATTGATGACTATGGACAAACAGTGTTACATCTGTTTGGATTTTATTTCCTTGACAGTAGGAAAAAAATGTTTTTCGACATATCTAACAATTGATTAAACAAGAAAAGGGGACCAATTACTTAATCATGAGAAGAGTCAGTGTTAGTTGCAGTCCTATGGCGATGCACAGCTTCCTTCCAGTGCTTTTGTGATGAATATGGAAACTAAAGTCCACTCTTTGCTTACAACATGACTTTGCAACCTCTTGCTTGTAGTTTCATGACCAATCCTAATAAGTGTTAACGTTATAGAATAGAATAACCTTTTTTAATAACAAAATGTCGAACAAGATAAGAATAGACCTACAGTGCGTGCAGTTATGTTTTATGGATTCGTCAATAGGACACGGGACTAACAGGACACACAGACAGAGCCGAGCACTCATTTCAGTGTACTGAGTTTACAGATACCCGGTGTCTGCCATCACTAAGCTGTCACTAATGTGCAGAGGCAGATCTCACAGCCGACATGCTGCCTGTGTTCCTTCAGGTAACACGCACCCTTTCCATCCTGGTGAGAGGTGCTGTGTCAGCCGAACGCGAGAAGTGTTGTGGGAGTATTTCGGGCTTATGTTTCCCACTGCCTGACACAACACACAACACAACAGACACAAGAGAATGATTTCAAACAAAAACAATCGATCAGATGCTTACCAACTGATATCGATGCCAGTGGCCGCACACATAAAGGGAAAAGGAAAAAGCAACAATATTATGATCATCATATTGGTATACTGTGTAAATGTCACAAACCTTTAGTGTTGTGTGATAAGTAAAGGTGTAATTGTGTTAAAACTTGCAAAACTTGAAGCAGTCTGAATCAGGCCCTTACTGTTAATGACAATAAACGTCCATCATCCGTCTTGATTCTTGGAAAGAAGACGGTTTTCATCGCCACGTTTCCGCGGGCGCTGGTAGATGGTCAGCTAGGAGACACAGAATAGTGCTAGCGATTACTCAGAAAGCAGCTCTCCCGGCGGCCTTCTTCCTTTTCGCTTCGCCCTCCTACTGAGCTGTTTGATTGAGTTCACAGCTGAGGAGGCCAATTTGGTACCCATGGAGAGGAATAAGTGAAAAAACGTAGCAGATGTGGGAATATATCGTATGAGTATAGTTAAAGACAAAGGGTAGGGCATGAGAAGGAGGGGGGGCAGTGATCGGAGAAAGGAGAGAATTACGTGAAGAGGAAAAAGACAGTGAGAAAAAGGGACAGCATCCAAGAAGATTGCAGGAAAATGACAGGAAGTTGGAAATGTCATTTCCCTATTAACTCAATGGCAAATGAAATGGGTGCAAAGTAGTAAAGAGTCACGTCTGGTGCTCAGACAGAGGTGTCAGTGAATAACTTAGTCTCATCTTTCCACGTCTAAAAATAATGCAGAGATTACATCGTTTTTTTATGGAATTGGAAGGTTTATTTGCTAAATCAAGCATGTAAAATAGAACCTGAAATTGCCTGAGCTGCTCCAGAGGACATTTTTAGCTGAAAGCAGCCGCTCCTCTGTGTTTCCAGCACTAAAACAATTAGTCAGTTAATCAATTAGGCAGAAATTAAATAAATCAACAAGTAATTGGTTGTTTATCAAGCAAAAAAAGCCAAATATTTGTTGATTCCAGCTTCTCAAATGTGGGAATTGTGTATCTTTAGGTTTTGGACTGTTTGTTTGACAAAACAAGCAATCTGAAAATATAACCTTGGGCTCTGGGAAATTGTAACGGATATTTTTAATCGTTTTCGTTAGGGAATAAAGAATTAATCGCAAAATGAACACACAGATTAGCCAATAATGAATATAATTGTTCGCCTATGAATAGTTGATTTTGATACCTTTTCACATTATTATTCACATAAAGTTTTACCTAGAACAGATAATGAGAATTTTCTCCTACAGTATCAGTATCAGAATATCAGCATACATGGCAACACACTGAACGATAACCCTACTCAATCATTAAACTTAAATATCTTCAAATCCATCTCTTTTTTTCTTCTGTCTCCTCCACAGGAGAGGTTCGAGGCGTTGTTTAGGATCTACGATGAACAGACAACTTTCCAGATGTTCAAAAGCTTCCGGAGAGTCCGGATCAACTTCAGCACCCCAGAGGTCGCCGCCCGAGCTCGCATTGAGCTGCACGAGTCCGAGTTCAACGGCAAGAAGCTCAAACTCTACTTTGCTCAAGTGAGTGTCAGTTAAAGGGTCTGGGAAAGGGCAGGCAGGGAGCATGGGACATGGACTGTCTAAGGAAGAGTTGTGCTTATTTACATGGGGAGTTATGCTATAGTGCATCACTGAAACACACACAGACACACAAATCCACACACAAATCGGGGACAAAAAACCTTACAATTCATTTTTTTGGCTCTCTTCTTTGAGCCTGACTGCTTCCTCAACCCAGCACCCCTCCTGTCATACTTCATCTGTCACTTGATTGGACACATAAACACGTAACATTCTTGAGCTCTCTTAGCGGTGTGTATTTGTTTCTTTTGGGGGAGAAAGAGTGTGTCTAGTCAAAACAAAAAATAAGAGGAGCGTATATATTCAGTACTGTGATGAAATTGTTATACATATTCAGTCATATCTAAAAAAAAAAAATAAAAAAAAAAGATATACATATAGCCATTGTTTCAACAGCATTTAAAGCTTATGTCAGCTATATGTCTTACTTTTAAAACACAATTCAACCCTGAGGCCTAGACGTCATTAGGCCTGAAAATCGTCACATTCCCAACCATGAGTCATCTTATAATTGATGCCCGTTTTATCACGAATACATCACCAGCCCTTACCCCTGCTGCACCTCTCAATACTTTGATGTAAGAGGATTAGGGATTTTACTGCTGAGACAGATGCCACATGTAGGTAGTGTAATTATGGCAATTGGCAGCTATCAAAATGCCAAAATCCCTTCATGGGACGGAGCCTGCAATTTGAGACTAAAAGACTGAAGCTATGACTGCAAAACTAATGTGCTTTTGTGGCTCTTAAGTATCAGGATTATGTATATATAAAGAAAGTACAGGAACTTTTACAATTATCCCAGTTGCTTTGTAGAGCTTTGCATTACATTTTCCATTTGTCTACTTTCTAAATTCAGGCTTTTGTCACAAAGTTAGATCTACAGTCCAGTGTATATTTTAAAATTAAATACATATTCTATAACAGCTTCACTCACTTCATATCACTTTAATCTCCTCTTTACTGCGCCTTTATCAATTCTCATCTCCTCTTTGATAGATCCAGAATGGCGACGAGGACATTGACAAGTCGTACCTGGCCCCTCCCCAGCCCGTCAAACAGTTTCTGATCTCGCCGCCTGCCTCGCCACCCGTGGGCTGGAGCCAGAGCGAAGACGCCACGCCTGTCATCAACTACGACCTGCTGTGTGCAGTAGCCAAGCTAGGACCTGGTGAGTACTCAACAAGCTTGTGCGGTATACTTTCAAAGATATGAACACACACGTTGACAGATAGAACACAGAGAAAACAGTGTATAATAAAGGTATAAAAGAAATCTAATCTGAGTCAGTCATCTCTGAACAGTCACCCTGATACAAACAGGAAATCATTTCATGCTCCTCAGCAGGGTGTTATAGAAAGGATATGAGTCTAGGAAGCAATTTGACAAAGGAATTGAGGTGGACATTGTCGAATCATCACAGTTTTATTCTTGACTTCCTGCGGGCTTTTCATTAATGTCAGGGAATCGGTATTAGGTCTAATTTACCTGAACACAAATGCATTTTTATGTATATTCCATTACATGCCTATATAACGTCATTATGAATTGATTGGCATTTTAAAGTGGCTGTCAACATAGAATTTTCTGCTCCAGTATTACTGTGGACGTGGTCCTTGTTGGGCAGCAAAATAAATAAAAATAGAAAAAACAGCTTGAAGCCCATAAATGATATCTGCTTATATCTGCAGTGCTGGTCACCATCCGTCAGTGTGAAGGGTTTTTAACCCCGGCCCCATCAATGCCAGTATTTGTGTTTGAAAAATGTAAACTGACTGAATAGCGACACTTCAATCGTATCTCAGGAAGTGTAATCCCTGCGTCCCTGTCGAGCTTTGGATTTCTCCGCACGTTGAAGTGGTGGTGTGTGTGTGAGGCTGTGGTAAAAAGTTATGCTCAGAATTTAAAGCGTTTCGAGGGTGGTGTCCTTTTTTAAGCCTTTTCAAAACCAAAAACACAAGCACATCATCGTTAACTCACTCACTAGTTACATTAGTTTGTGGGGTTAAAGGTTAGCCAGTCCTCCTCTTTATTCAATTTGGGGACGTTTACACTAAACTCTACCAGCGACGGTTAAAACCGACACTTGAAGCCTAGCAATGAGAAGCCTGCTTTTGTGTACCTCTGTCTGAAATGAAGGAGCCATTGTTTCAGAGATTACTAAGATTTTCGTGCGCTAAATATGCCATCATGTTCATTGTTAATGGTGTAATGTCAGCGGGGCAAACAGTCAAGACGGTAATCGGTAATTGATAGGATATAGATCACTATGCCGTAAAAAGATCCTTTGAAGTCCCCATACAATTTTAACCAATGTGTTCGTGTGTAAGCAGTGCGGCTCAGCCCAGTTATATTCGGAAGGTTTTAAGATCTTTCCCAGGAACCTTGCTCCCTGGCAGCTTATCTGCTAAGAGATAATGTCGGCTCTGTCTGCCTTGTCGACAAGATTTCTGATTGCAGCAACCTTTTATAAAATGTCACCTAACACACGGAAAGGCGTGCCATATTCCACATAGCCTTTCCATGTTTGTGTATGTGGGTATGCTCATGCTGATGAAGTGGAAAACATGAAGTGTGTATTCACTTGAGCGCTATTATCTTTTTTGATTATCAACAAAAACATGATTAAAGTTTCCACATAATCACACACACACACACACACACAGTCCAGCTCAGAGGATCACGTTTGACACGTTCGGCTGTTACCATAGCAACATGAGGCATCAGGAAATGGCTTTGTTGTTCACCGCACATCCTGGCATCTAAAATCAGATTATCGCAGGGCTGCAGCACAGCGCGCTGACTCCCTCTGTCAACTCTCTGCGGTAACAGCAGGACTCTTATTCACTGTCCATCTTTCTGTTTGGCACCACAGCGAAAAAGCTACTAGACCAATTTCCTCCTGTCTGCCAGCTGTCTGATCTCATCTCCATGGCAACCGTGATACAATCTAGCAAGTGTATGTTTTCAATCTGAGTCCGCCGAGTTTGGCATCTGGACAAATGGCAGCACTATTGCAAAGAAAGTCCTTTTGTTTTCTCTTGACGTCACCTCCTTCTATCTGAGTGCTGACCTGATTAACAATGCAATGGACAGACAGACAGTAGATTATTTTCTCCAGTGTTTGATAAATAGTAACAATTATGAATAAATAACATATGCATGTTATTTCAACCAGAGCTGTTCAAGCCTGTCTTACTTTACTTCTCCTTTACTAGTAAAAATCTTTAAAGTTAGACTAACCAAAATGTAATGTAAAACAATTATGTTATAGATGACTTGAATTTAAATGTTCTAACTTTATATACTGTTGGATAGTTCAATATATAATATATTTTATAAGCTGATCAAAGGTTATTAAGTCTTAATCTGCAAAGTAACCATTGACTAAAGCTGCCAGAGCAAAAAGTACAATAATTCCTTCTGAAATGTTGTGAATTAAAAAGTTAGCATTAGCATGAAATGGAAATACAGTAAAGCGCCTCAAAATTGCATTTAAAAAGCAAAACAATGTTGTAATCTCTCTTTAAATACTTCTTGCCTTCAATAGCTCTCAGCACCAAGCCCAGTTCTCACTGAAGGCATAAATCTTTAAAAGGGTTCAAATGTATGTTTGATGTAGTTTATTTAAAAAGGCTGAGCAGCTGGGCACTGTAGTTTTTAGCAAATAATATTCAAACAGAAAGCAATATTTATACTTACTTATAAAAAAAGGTTACTCTGCACCACTACCTCTTAACTCTCATCTCAGATAACAGTATTTAATATGATTCTGCTCTCTCCCCCATTCTCCCTCTCTTCCAGGCGAAAAGTACGAGCTCCACGCGGGGACAGAGTCCACCCCCAGCGTGGTCGTCCACGTGTGTGAGAGCGAGACTGAGGAGGACGAGGCGGCGCGGCCAAAGCAGCAGATCGTCCAGACCAGACGTCCCGAGGGACCCCCCAAAGTCTTCAACTAGAGAGGCCTCCCCCCTGACACCGGCGCGGACCCCGACCGCCCCTTAAAACCCGCAACACACCTGCCCTCTCTCTCTCGTCTCTGCACTCACAGAGAGCGTCGATGCCCCTCATTTCAGTTCAACTACAAGCAAAAACAAACCAACAAACATTGCTCAAAGACGGTGTTTGTGGGGAGCGTGGCGATGGAATGAGGCGGCTTGAAGGGGATGGATGAGAATCACACACACACTCATCACATTCTGCGGACAGCGTGGGGAGCGGCGGGCATGCTTTGCCTCCAACCCCACCCACCCCCCCTCGGTTTTTCAGCAAGAGGGTCCGAAAATACCTGTCCAAACGCAGGCACCTGTCACTTATCACCACACACACACACACACACCTCAGCTCTCATGTGCTAGTCCTGCTCAGTAGCTTGCTAGTCTAACGCTATTGAGCTTGTACCCGTCTCCTTCGTCTCAGTCGTGTGTAACACATAATCTCAGTTGAGGTATAATGCGAACCGTCTAAACAAAGAAATTTTTTCTTCTTTTTTCTTTTTTTTTTTACATAAATTGTTCCATGAAATTTCAGATATGTACGTAATATATACTGTATACATAATATATACTACATGGATATGTACGCATACCTGTATACCTACTACATATGTAACCGTCGTCGCTTCTTTTTCTTCTTTTTCATCCATTTTCATATCTGCTGGTTTGTTGCTTCAGCTTGCATCAAGATTGAGTGTGTGATGTTCCCGCTCTTGTCTGCATGTATATACTGTATTACAAAAAATACGTACAGAAACACAAGTACTAACAAGATATATCAAGAAAAAGGAACCTATTTAACATCACACACAGCACGAAGCGCCATATGTGACTAACAACGTTGTGGTGGTTGTTTGACTCTTCTTTCTTCTTTTTTTTTGCTTGTTTTTTGCTTTTCGTCTTTTTTATTTGGAGAGGTGTTGTTTTTTGCTAAACTACTAGATGTGTATTCTTACTATGTATTTGATACCCCGACACTTTTTGCATGCTTAGTTACTTCTGTAGATGAGGAGCTGAGGTGTTTTTTATTGTCGTTCGTGATGACAGGGAAATAGTGTGACGCTTTTGACGCAAGTGCATATCCCCGTGCAGAGTTTAAAGTGACGTCTTAGGGAGGGGAAAAAAAACAGAATGTTTTTTTTGTGAGATTGACAGTTCAGTCTTCAACTGGATGGCAAATTTGCATTTGTCGCTTTTGTTGGGATTTGATGGATCAGAGACAGTTCATCCCCCTCATTTTCTTCAAGGGGTTTGGGATGTTGATTTTATTTTTCTGATTCTGTTTGTTGTATTTCACATCTTTAATGTCTTGGTTACTTTGTTCGATCAAACCCACTTTCTACGTGTCAGGTTTTCTTCTGAAACCTACTACTGCTTGTTTTGCACTGAGTATCTCTTGATACATCAAGCAATTGTGGGGCTCTCGACCGTCTCCTGCTGCGCACCAGAATACTGCGCTGCTTCTCGCTGTAAATAGCCGAGCGGTAGATTTGTGGAAATAGTCCTTTTAGATTTTGTAGTTTAACCTGAAAGCATTTTGCTGAGAAAAGGGAAAATTAGGTAGCCTCATGAGATATCAACCAAAGCATTCACTCACCTCATATTGTCACGACAACATAAAATGATTTTTCTTACTCAGAGACACTGATGTATATTGTCAAAGCGAGCAGAAAGAAATCATATTTTCCCAACATAACTGCAGTACTTTTTATTGCATTCTTTTTTATTCTACATTAACAAACGTACATTTTTGCATTACATATTTTAGTGGAAGCTAATCTCCACTAAAAATCATAAACTCATTGACTTTAAATATTTTTTTCCTTTTTGTTTGGTAAATTCTCCCCACGGTCCAATTCATATCAGTTATTGAATGAAACATGAACAAATGTTCCTAACAGGGCTTTTGGGTGTCAGCGGTGAGTCTAAACCTTATTTGTCATTAGGCAGCATGAAATCTAAAAAGACTTTTTTTGCTATATAACAATATAAGTGAGCAAAAGAGAAGTCCGTCTGCATGTGAGCACTTTATTGTCAGTGTTTTGTTTGTTTCCTTCACATAAAATAGTCTTTCTTGAGACAAAGTAGGAAGCACATTGCATTCTTATCTGTTTCTTTTCTTGTGTTTTTTTTTTCTTTTCTTTTTTTATCTCAAGCTGAACACCTGGTTAGCCTTTTCACCAGCATATTGCAGTGAGTGAAACACTCCACTTCCTTTTTGCTAGTGTGAACCTTGGATGAATTTCAGGCTTTTTGGATCTATGGGAGTGTACTACTGTAAAGATGTAGACAGTGCAGTACAGTTATAGATTTTAAATGAGGCAGGATGACACTGCAAAACAAAATCAGTGTCTTTTGTTGTCGTGTTTGTCCACAAGAAACATTCATCTTATCTTCAGAGAAAGTTAAACAGTTCTTTGAAATGCACCATGTTGGCAGAGTGCAGTTTTATTGGCACTACAGTAAAGCTGTCACAGTTATCTAAGCAGACTGCAGATTGGTGGAACTACTGAGGTGGATTATGAGAAAGAGGAAGCAGCCAGCAGCAGGAGGAAGACACTCGTGAAGATTTTTTTACTCTCTGTGGTCATGGTGTTTAAAACCGGGTGCATTTTGGTCACAGTTGAAATGAAAATGTATATTAATGTACATATGCCAAGTGTTTTTGTCTTTTTTTGTTGCTGAGGCCAGTCCCAGTGTGCAGTTTGTTACGGCTTCTCTTGGCAATGTTGTAATGGAAAAAAAAAATACAAAATTGTGTAACAATAAGTCCTGAAGATGCTCGATCAAAAACCAACTTGTCATTGTGTTGTGTTCAACATGGACTCTGTTTGAATGTTTCTTTTATTTCTGGGGAACGTCTACTAAAAAGGTCAATAATACCGTTTGTCACTGTTGTACTGTTTCTGTTGAAATATGAATATTGTGTCTTGTATTGTAGGAATCCAGAAAACAAAGTAGCAAAACAAGCAATAATTTACAGTTCTATAATACCGGTATGTGTATTTTCATGTTCTGTACTTATTTCTCAGAGATGGTCTCTGTCTCTTACAGTATCCGCTTCTATTTGTGTAGTATACTAGCCATTTGTTTCACATAGAGAAATACATAAAGACTTATTCTTAAAAGCCATGTTTAGTGTTGTTTATTTTAGGGATTACTTTACTTGAGCATCTACACAGCTGGGATGCAAATACAGGTACAGAAAAGGTGTCTGAAGCTAGCATTTAGCTCAAAGCACCCCCTACAGTAAGTACAGCCTTACAGAGCTGCTAGCATGGCTATAGATTCTTAGCATTATTGAAAGATTACCATTCTTTCAAAAAAGCTTAGCCCTCAATCAAAATGTAATGATAATACTTGAGACATAAAGTTAAAGGTCTAGTGTGTAACATTTAGTAAGCTCTACTGGCACAAATTTAATATAATATGAATAACTATGTTTCTCCTTTGTTCTTGAAAAGTGAGGGAGTTGCAATCTGCAACTACACTGCTTGATGCCACTAAATGTTCCACACTGGTCCTTTAAGCTTTACATCAGCCCAATCATGCAGATGTAAATATTAAATGATATACTAGACTCAGGCACATGCAATATTGTTCCATTATCTTTATCATCCACTTTCTCCACTTCTTTGCTGTTTTCTTCAAACAATTTAATAATTCATGACACTGAATCAAAATGTCTGAATCTCCACTGGTTTTAGTGTTGACTTTAGTTCTTCATAAGGCTATAAAATACACAGAAAAGCCTATATCACTGCAGGGACATGTATGTTCCTGCTTTATGATGCTAGAATGGGGCAGTGGTACTTCCACTTGCACTTTGCACCTCATATTTCCCCCTAAGGAGCTGGCAACAGACTGTCTGGTCAGAGCCTAACAGCAAAGTTGAGTTAATGATTCTTTCAGTGAGCAACACCTGACATGAAATTCAAAACAGGAAAGGTGAAGCGACGCGTGTGGCAATACAGCCATGACCTGCAGTGCAGTAGCCCGTTAAATTTCATGGCTGCAGTTTCCTTGTGTCAGCCGCGTAGAAACAGACAGATGACTGATCGCGATCCAGTAACAATAGATTTCTCTCATCTGTTTCCTTCTGACAAACTGCACATCAGTGTTATGTAAGGAGAGACAACAAAGCCAAGACGATGGCACACTGTCAACCCTGACTTGGCAAAAGAAATATGTTGTCGCAAACGTGAATTTAAAAAAAAACTATTTTAGTGAGAACCATATCTTTAACATATCCAGGATATAAGGATCCAAGGTCGTAAAGGTTACCTGTGTCACTGCTGACATACTAAATGGTCTAAAGGTAAGAACAGTGGACAGCTGTCAGCGTTTTACGTTAAGGGTGGACAGCTGTGAGATGAGGCTTTCTGTGCTGCCCTGTGTCTTCCTCTCCATGACACAAAAAGCCCTCTCTTCACGGTGCCGGGAGTGAGGAATTCCTCTTCACAATGACCCTTACTGTTGAATGTGAAGATGCGTGTGCACCTAAGATGAACAGATCAAGTTAACATGGACCTGGTGGGTGTTAATGGGGCCAGTACCTCCATTTTCTTTAAAGGTACTTTCCAGAATTACTCAGCACAAATGCTTCAGTTGCTCTTATATAGCGCCTTCGTACACTCATGGCAAAGGCTCATCAGAACAATGCATTAGTCATGAACAGTATATACAATGAGTTAAAGAAAGTCCTTAAAAGTACACGTGGTAGAATCAACAGATACTGTGTAATGGGTTTATTATGAGTGACTTTAAACATTTACTTCAGCTTTTAAAGTCCTCTAATGCAATAAAGTGATAAGTACAGTGAGTGTAAACACTTTTATCTCCCTCAGGAAGAGTGAGTGGCTAAAGGTTGGCTGCCCATGTGTTCACATCAGGAAAAGTACAGATATAGTAACTTTACTTGTGTGTGTTGATAATAAAATTGGTTTGTAATTAAGATAGATGATGAAAGGGTTATAATGGCATATTTAATGTTTGCAGTTTCTGATAAATTAAGACATTTTTAAATAAGCTCAGGTTCTAAATCTAGTGATTCTTTTAGTGTGCTGGAGGGATGGCATGGCCGGTCCACGACTTTGGTCCAGACGGAAATATCTCAACAACAAGTAAATGGATTGGAGGACATGTTATAGACATCGGTGGTCACCAGAGGATGAGTGGTTCACAACTTGAAAAACAAATGAGATTCCCTTCAACCTCAGCTGTATATTGTGTTTAGTGCTATTAGCGCATGTTAGCATGATAATATTCTAAACTGTGGTGATCATGGTAAAGAGTACACCTGCTCAGCATCCGGGTATTAGCATTTTCCATTGTGAGCATGTTAGCCCCTATGCCAGAGAAGGTAGCTAGTCTTGTTGAAAACAATATGTAGACATTTAGATATCAGAGGGGCATCATTTTACTCATCATCCACAGACTTTTTTGACTAGACACACACCTTATGCCTTATATTGTAGATTCAAAATAGTATTTATTATTTTAGATCTTTGTCCCATTGCTTTTATAATTAAAGTTGACATAATGGGTCAAATGTGGAGACCTGACCCTATAAAAATTTAAAAGGGGATTGAAGTCTTCATTCATTTTAATACTAATTCTATCCTTATTATACAAAACAGCATTATTTTCTGTACCAAGCATCCCAAACAAAAGATGACTGAATTGATGGGACGGACAGATTTAGAAAAACAAATGAGACAATGAGATGAGAAGACAACTAAGAAGAAAGACAACAACATTAAACACTGAAATACAAACTAAATATGTAATTAACAAATGATGATCCACCTGTCTTTTCACTTTCAGTAAATTCAAACAAATTTTGTACACGGGGTGTTTACACCTTTTGTACTGGGCTGAAACCAACACAATGCCTGGACGCCATTTTGAAAGATGTATTCTTCTCTATGAAATTTGACCTGTAGCTCTCAGACTTACGTAATGGTCTTCCACCACAGCTGAACGTAAGGGACACAGGGACACCAGCACTGTGCACGTATGCAGGCCATTGGGTGAAGCAGAACAATGCGTGTCTGCCCAAATGAAGTTTAGTTACACTTTCTCACAAAGGCACAACACTGACTTGCTTTATAGTCGTGGGCACCACCTATCCCCCGGAGGTAACGTGAGGCGAGATCCTGACGACTTGTTGGCACAATTTGGAGAAATACTGCCACGACGGGTGTGTTACACAGGCTACAAAAAGATAGTAGGGCAGTTAGGAAGCTGGGCAAAATATATACCAGTAAAAGCATTTTTCCTGTTCCTCAGTGGATAGCTTTCACACAAATGTTGCCAAGCTTTTGAATTGAGCTCATTGTCCTCTAATAAAAGCAAAGAAAAGGCTTTTGCCTACTGTATCTTTCCCACAAACACACCCAGTACCCTTTGGACAAGTACTGTAATTCACAAAGTTAATTTTCAACTACATACATAGAACATGTGCGTGCAAAGATGAATGGGTTTGTGATAACTTTGAAACCTCATACATTGTCTACACACTCACACAAAACACACAAACACACGCTGTCTCATTATCAGAGGTAATGATTCGATTTTTGTTGTTTTGTTTGTTGACCGTGGCATGGTGAGACTCATGCATGCATGTGTTCAGTATAAGCATGCACAGGTGCACACGCCCCAAAAAGTGTAACACATACCCTGGATTTTATTATATGAGATGCTATTTTTTCAGTCATTTTAATCCTCTTTTGACCAAAATGCACCGAGCCCCACCCTATAGCAGTTCATGTCCTATGAGATGCAGCTGGTCTGATTTTGAGAGGCAGTAGTCATGGTGAGAGCCGAGCAGACAACTCTGGAGAGGAGAGGAGCTTTTTGATCATCAGTCACGGCACGCCTAGGGGCCAGGCGGTAGGACCTGAAAAACCAGCTGCCTGAGATTATTACTTTCAGCGAGGAGCAACAAGTGAGCAAGCGTGGAGCCTCCTCCTCCTCCTCACTCTCCTCCTC